AGGGATGGTTTTCTCGCCTCATTCTGACCATGTATTTCTGACATATTTGCACCCTTCTTGTGGTTAAAGTTGGTAGTTGTGCAAAATTCAGGGCCTCCGCATATGACTCGCTCTCCGAGAAAATTATCTTTAGTGCTCGTTTTTGGACCGACTCAATTTCCTTCGATAGATAATCCGGAATGTTTTGGCAAATAGGGACGGCGTACTCAAGTACCGGTCTTACTGTGCACAGGTACACTTTCAGTAAATTCTTTTGGTCAACCCCAGCTCTTCGCAGGACTCTTAAAGGGTATAGTTTTTTGTTAGCCTTCTTAACAATGTATTCGATATGGGGATTCCATTTTAGGTCGCTACACAAAATGACACCCAAAGATTTATACGTTGTCACACGCTCAATAGTGGAGTTGTCTGAACAGGAGCTTGAGCCGGAACATCCATCTTATTTTTGAATGCGAGAAACCGATTTAGTTGATCAGAGTATAATTTGCTTTTTTCCACTGCGCTAAGCTGTGGTGCATCCATGATTTCTTTCATTCGCTGCTCGGCATCATACATGGCGTTTACAAGCGGTGGTTGACGATACGACTGTTTTTGTATAAACTTTGCAATCTCACCGGGAAGTACGTTTGTCTTGAGTCGATCTTGGTCACTCGTTGTCGACTTTAAATCCAACATCAAATACCCGTGAGGTCGGCTCGTAGCATCTTCATAACTCCTCATAAATTCCTGTACTTTGCCGGGATTTATTTGCCTTGCAAGCATAGAAATTTGTTGTTTATCTCTTGGTGACTTGAACAATACGATATAATGCGCGTTTAGACTAATATTTCTCATTTCTTTGCCTTGATGAAATATATTTTGGACAATATAGATGATAGACAAATTTCGATGATGACTTCCTTTCGTAAAAAGTTCAGCAATACGTTTATTTTTGCCAGATTGAGCCATTAGATCATCCAATAAAATCAAATTCCCTTGCGATACGTCCAAGTAACCTGCGTTGTCGATGTCTTCGGGGATGCCTTGATTGAATTCGATTCCTGGCATCGTTCTCATCATATCAAAATAGGAGGGTTGCCATTGACCATAACACCAAATGATACGTTGAGGAGGTGGTGTGCATTCTCCAAGAGAGATTTTACCCATACAGTCTTGCCGCTTTGGGTGCACCCAGCTATGATACATGTGAAAGGATGCAGTATAACACTGGACCGATTGACAACAATACTGCATTGGGATAGAGTGCCAGGTCCGTGAGCTGTATTTTGGTGCCATGAACGGTTACTTGAAGTTGGGAATGATTTGTTACAAACTGTGCAAGAATGAGACATGTTCACTGCTCTGTGACAAAACGCTGAATGAAATTATTTTAAGTCTGTCCACTATTTATAACCACTCGTGATTATTCTTAGGATTCACTGATTTAATATAGGATTCACTTTATGATTCAATTCAATGATTCACTCTATGATTCAATGATTCACTCTATGATTCAATGATTCAATCTAGGATTCAATGATTCAATCTAGGATTCAATGATTCATTCATGATTCAATGATTCAATCTAGGATTCAATGATTCAATCGATTCAATCTAGGATTCAATGATTCACTCAATGATTCAATCTAGGATTCAATGATTCATTCAATGATTCAATCTAGGATTCAATGATTCAATCTAGATTCAATGATTAATGATTCACTTTATGATTCAATGATTCACTCAATGATTCAATCTAGGATTCAATGATTCACTCTATGATTCAATGATTCAATCTAGGATTCAATGATTCACTCTATGATTCAATGATTCAATCAAGGATTCAATATAGGATTCAATGATTCACTCTATGATTCAATGATTCAATCAAGGATTCAATATCCGGATTCAATGATGATGAACACGAAGCCGAAGAAACCTTCATTCTATTTTAACCTCTACGGGGATTTTTACTTGCACTCTATGATTCAATGATTCAATCAAGGATTCAATATAGGATTCAATGATGATGAACACGAAGCCGAAGAAACCTTCATTCTATTTTAACCTCTACGGGGATTTTTACTTGGAATGGAAAAGGAGAAATCTTTTACAGAGGACATAATATACGAGGAACTGACATTGTAGACCTTCTGAAATATTGCGTGACGCCTTATCATCCAGATATTCCCGAACCAACTGGATTGAGCATTTTTATAAAAGGTCTTGCAGAATTGGAAATTGATAAAAGTCTGATCGTAAATGGACATGTTCTTTCTGTGTTAGCCCACAAGTGGTCCCATCAGGATACACAATTTGATGCTGACGCAACTTGTAACAAAGATATATACATCTCCCATATGAGTACGTGCCCCGTATGCACATGGACAGATTTTTTATCCGAATTGCAATTTGCAAAAGCTGTCGCTGTATGATCTGTGATTTTCAAGTGTCCAAAGGAGATTTTACGCATGTAATCGCCAGCTGTCCACATTGTCGCCGAGGCGAAATTATAGATATCAGAACGGATAAAAGGCAATCTTTTAACCATAAAATAGGCGATCAAAATGATATTTGATTAGTTGACTGCGTGAAGTTGAACTGAACACATCAACATGCATGCCGAGAGGTACACTTGTTGTAGACGAAAAGCTACTGAGAAACTATTTCTTGAGACAGCAGCGTGGCGGAAACATCGCTGGGTTTCGTGGTGCACGTTTTCAAAGAGGATACGGGATCGGAGGTATTTTCAAGAGCCTTGCGAGATATGCTATTCCTCTATTCAAATAAGGTGCTAAATTTGTTGGCAAAAGAGGATTACAAGCAGCCACAGACGTTGATCAAGATATACTCCAAGGAAAAAATGTAATTAGAGAATCTGTAAAGACTCACGGAGGTGACGCTGTTAAAGACTTTGCCGAACAAGGAGCAAAAGCCCTACTACAACAAGCAGGGCGCGGAAGCAAGAGAAGGCAAGGCCAACGCAGTAATTTATCAACTACAAAGAGGTTAAAACTGTGTTCTCATATAACAGTCCCAAGACATACCAAATGGATTACGGAAGATGAACGCAACCACGATGATGAAAGCAGCTATGATGAAGAATCTGATAGCGAAAACCCTGAAACAAGTGCCGATATATATTAGAAGCATAACTTTGTAAAACGTTTTGAAGAAATAAATGTATTTAAAAACTGAAATATTGTGTAAATTTTTGCCGGCAAAGCCCGCTCTTTCCGCCCGCCTGATTAGTGTACAAATATGTTGTACTTTAATATATGCATGCACCCGCAAAGCCACGCGCCTGATTTTAAGGTATACACCTGCGTTAAAAATAATCCCTATCTACAATTACAATTACAATTTATTCAAAAACCGATCTTGCAGCCAAGAAGCTGAATTACAACGGTTACATTTTACAAAAGAAAGGTTTAAGTTAATTATACTAACTATTACTGCTTAAAAATACTAAACATAATAAAATAATTGTAACTTTAAGTTAATGGGACTGTCTATTTCAATTAATTAAACTATCTATTAATGTATTTAAGAATATATAATTACAGTTAAAACTAACAGTTATTTTCGAAATATATAAAATCCTCAGTGACTGCTGCTTTAATTATTAGAACTAGCAGCAATTATAAAAGACTTTTAAATCGTTCAGTCTTGCATTTAGGAATTTTAAAAGTTCTCGAAGTTCTCAGGGAATACGCTACGTCAGTATTCGGGTCTGGTAGGAGTGGGTGCAATTTGTGATTTTTATCTTCCATTATTTCTTTGAAGAGTTTGTCGCACGCAATTTGACGTCTCTCTTCAAGAGTTAGAAGCTTAGAATGGGAGAGCGCTTCGGCATATGATTTGGTGGGAAATATGATTTTCATGGCTCGTCGCTGGATTCGTTCAATGTCTTTACACAGATATATGGGAATTCCATAATGAAAGACAGGAGATGCGTATTCGACAACTGGTCGGATACAAGTGCAGTAGAAACACATCGTCTCAGTGGTAGATACTTTGGCACGTTTCAATTGTCGCAAAAAGTACAATCTCTTGGATGCCTTTTTAACAATATTATCAATATGACTATTCCACTTAAGGTCGCTGCTGATAGTCAAACCCAAAACTTTACTTTGGAAGACCAAGTCTACCTGTTTACCGTTGATTGTCAGAAGGGGAGGCTGCTGGTAATTAGTGTTGTATCTGCTAAATTGTATTCGCATCTCTTTACATTTGTTCTCGTTGAGGGTAAATTTCAGGGTGTTGGATTGGTTTTGGATATCATCGACCTCAGATTGAATATTACTATCCCCTCCTCTGGGTATTACCTCGGCTAAAGTCGTATCGTCTACGTATTTCCAGAGGTTGTTACTGACTGTGTTGAGGTCACTGATCATAAGAATGTATAACCAAGGACCGAGTTTGGTTCCCTCGGGTACACCTGCCGGGACTAGGGACCATTCTGAATAGCAGTCATTGGCCAACTTTACTCTTTGTTGACGATTTGTCAAAAAATCTCTTACCCAATTTATAACACTCGGCGGAACGTCCAGAGAGTGGAGCTTTACCATAAGTAACTGATGATCGATGAGATCAAATGCTTTCCTAAAGTCCAATAGAACGAGTCTAACTAAGGCCCCGTTGCCATCAGTGGCTTTAGCAACATTGTGGACTATGCTAATAAGAGCTTGCGTGGTAGATGATTTCGGCACTGTTCCATATTGGTTAGGATCCACCACTTTGAGAATCGCCGGTTTAATGAACTGTTCAACTACCACTTCCTCGGCTTTAAACGGGCCTTAAATCCTTGTTTACAGTTCGTACAGGCTTCTGTTTTGGAATGGGAATTACATCTGCCAACTTCCAAGCAGCGGGTAAACGATTTTCGAGATAAGAAGAATTGAGAATCTTGCACACGGGACTAGCTAGTACATCGGCATTCTCTTTGAGAAGCCAACCAGGAAGTGTCTGGGCCATGAGCCTTCGTAGGTACTATACTGGATAATTTCTCGAAAATATACGATTCTGTGGTGGTAATTGTAGATGGTAATTGGTTACTGGTGCCGGACACGTTTAAGGCTTGGGAGTGGTCAGAATTTAGAGGTTGGAACACGTTCATTGGTTCTAGGAAGGTTTGATTTATCGTATTCGCCAAGTGTGAAAGAGATGCGTTGCCTTCGTTGGTTTCATTGGTTTCATCACCAGTGGGTGACAGGCTTTGAAGATGTCGGAGATCATACTTGTGGTTGACTGGATCCATTCCACACAGGTACTTAACAGATTTCCACCACTGTTTGGGATCAGAGGCTTCAAGTTGACTGACTTTTGAGTCATAGTATTTACTCCGGCATTGTTTTCGTTCCCTATTGACGCGGTTACGAAGACTTTTAAATAACTGGTCATGTCCTTTCGCTAATGCTTTTTGACGTTGCTCAATTAAGGATTTCAAATGTTTAGTCATCCATGGTGGGTCATCGAGCCGTTTCTTTATAGTTTTTGTGGGAAGGAGAATGTCCATCCCAAACCGAATAATTGATTCAAAAGCAGACCATTTTTCATCACATGACGAAAGGGAATCAAGGATTGACCAGTCAAATTCAGTAATGAAGGTGCTGATAGCTGCTTTGTTTCTCGGGTGTTGAGTGCGAACTTGGGAAATATCATATTTTGTTCTTCCTGCAACCTTGTGTTTAGGCGTCGAAAGGATAGTAAAATGGTCGGAGAGACCAAAAGGTGGAAGTTTAACTGGCGGTAGGTAAAATTTAGCCAAGTTAGTTAGAATTAAATCAAGGGTTCTCCTTCCACGAGTCGGGAATTTAACCAATTGTTTTAGACTGAAGTGGTTATTTAGACGATGACAATTAAGATTATTAAAGTCTCCAAGTAGAATAAGACCACAATTGTAATAAGTTGATTCGATAAGGGACAATTGTTCAGTTAGGAAGTCAATCATATTTCTATCATTTGCTGAGGGTGGATGGTAAATTGAACCAATGATAATGCAAGATAGGCCCCTCGGCAATTTGTGAGGACGAGCTTTAACCCACAAGACCTCGAATTGATCATTATGGTATTGACTGAGAATTTCGAATGGGATTGACTCCTTTACATAAAGGCACACTCCTCCATGTTGGCCAATTAGGCGATCTCTTCTTACAACATTATATCCCGGAATCTGGATGACGTTATCATGTACAAGGTCAGTCAGCCACGTCTCAGTAAAGCACGCGAGATCGGCGTCGGTTTGTAACACTGAGTGACGGACTTCATCGATCTTGGGTGCCAAAGACATTGTATTTGATAGCATAAGACTTGGAACAGGTTCGCTAATATTCGGAATAGACGATTGTTCAGCTGAGACATATTCAGCAGAATGTAGGTTTGCTAGGGACTCGTTTGTCACATGAATATTTGAGTGGTTTGAACCTAGGTCAACATTATTTAGCGTATTATTACGGTGAATTTTATTGTTTAATACACTGGAGGTGTATGATCATCTTAACAGAATATATGTATGTAGGAGGATTGCTAAATAATCTTGAACAACATGCAAATATTGACCATAACAACGACGTTGACAACTCGGGATTAGGAACTGTTTAGTTTAAAATATGTCTTGATTTTTGTGACGAAAAGATTCCTCGCTATGGAACATACGAAAAATCCTTCAATATACATGTGGAAATTTATCTCTTCCGAGCAAAGATACGGCTATAACTCTGCTATATATTAATTTCGATAACAATTTTGCCATGGGCAGGGACACAAACCAATCGTAGCAAACCAAGATTAATCCCCCTATTGTATCATACACGTGGGGGGACGCTAAAAAATGCGTAGTCAGCAAGTTTCGCCCGATCGTGTTTAAGCTCGCCCGCGTGACGTCATTGCATATAATTATGACGTATACTAACGAGTGACGCCATTACGCACCCTCACTTGTGCGGCCCCCGTGCGGCCCCCTTAATTACCTGCATATATAATGTGCGGCCCCCTTACATAGTAATTACTTGCATATATAATGATGCGGCCCCCTTGCGACCCCCTGCGGCCCCCTGAAAATAAGGGTCGAACGGCCTCTATATTACTACTCAGATACATGCATAGTAATTACTTGCATATATAATGATGCGGCCCCCTTGCGACCCCCTGCGGCCCCCTGAAAATAAGGGTCGAACGGCCTCTATATTACTACTCAGATACATGAGGTTAATTTTATCGCCAAAATAGATAAATTTCTTATCCATATGATCATATTGGTGATTGCTTTTTCTGGATGGTATTGTGAAAAGTTCTTGAGCTAAGTAGTTGGAAATAAGTTATGTAAATGTTAAATTAAATTTTAAACTGTTGAGATGGTGAAATCGTATTGGTATAGAGAACATCCCGTTGAACATTGTTTTTTTTATACTAAAATACATACGATATCAAAAATAAGTATTGCTAACAAAGAATGAAAACACTGTTGGAAACACGGCAACATAAAATTGAAAAAAATGAAATAAAATAATGAATTCGAAAATTCTGGATGAGAAAATTAAGATATATTTTGACGTTATCAGCAAAATTAATGCAGAATCGAAGCAATCGGTTTGGATTTGCGGTGTTTAGCTGGAAAGGCAGAAGAAGTCAGAAATCGGAAGTCAGAAGTCGGAACTCGGAAGTCAGAAGTGGCCCTCCTCGGCCATCGTACCTTTCACTTCAATGAACAAACAAACTTTCACGAATCTACTGCTGCGCGCCTGCGCCTTTATATATTTACCATTAAAAATGCACTAAAAGGCAGATTCATGCATTTAACCATGATTAATTTTACTACAGAAAATACCTGTATTTCACTCAATACATGCTTCCAGAAAGTACCTCGTCTTGGCTAGACTGCGAGCGGTCCCTCCTTTCCGCGGGTTTAGATTTCCGGGCATGCGAAAGGAAAGGAGGGAGTCGAGGGACTACAGACAACACATCAAGAAATGAAATCCGCGTTTCCCACACAACGCAAAATTGGTCTTGTCTAAAAGTACACACGAGTGACCACGAGTGACCACGAATGACCACGAGCATAGATTATAGATCATACCAGATGTCCCACTGTGTATCTATCCCTATGATTTTCGTGTCCGCGATTTTCGCGAGGCTACCACGCCAGATGACGCGTGCGACACTTACTGCCAAAATGGCGCTTACTGCCAGAATGCGTGATTGCTCACGTTTCATGGCGTGGATTACACTCACTGCCAAAATGGCGGCCAACGCGTGCTCGTAAAAAATCGCGGACACAATTTTGGCTGAGTGAGACATCTGGTCAAGGGTGGGTTGACTACAAAATTTTTGTAGTTCGCTATAACTACAGCTACTTCAAAAATATGTAGTCAGCTACAACTACTGCTATTTTTGAACAAAGGTAGTTCGCTACTGACTACAGCTACTGCTTAAAAATTGTAGCGAACTATTTCGCTATTTCGCTACACTATATTTTTTAGTTTTACTATATTTGGAGCATCTACTAACTCAGGCAGTAATGTAATCTATAACAAATCGACTTACGAGTCGCAATAGTAAACACAAAGCAACATTTCTGTAAGCACTACAGTGTTCAGGAGTGCAATTGAGTATTGATTTTAACAAACCATGTCTCAATATCATGCTATTCTATCAAGTTGCTAACAATTTTAAAGAGTAGCGAATGGCGATTCGCTGTTTGAAAAGTAGTCAACTACTTGGCTACTTTTAGGCAAAATGTAGTTCGCTATAACTACAACTACTGTTTTAAAAAAGTAGTCAAAAACTACTGGCTACTTGAAAATTGTAGTTCGCTACAGTAGCGAACTACAACTACTTCGCTACTACCCACCCTTGCATCTGGTATGATCTATAATCTATGCCACGAGTGACTACGAATGACCACGAATGACCACGAGTGACCACGAATGACCACGAGTGATTTCTGTGTTTAAAAGTCATAAAATAATAATAAAAATCTATTTTAAGGTGGCTCCATAGGGTTTTTGCATTATACTACACTTTTGCACGAGTGATTTCTGTGTTTAAAAGTCATAAAATAATAATAAAAATCTATTTTAAGGTGGCTCCATAGGGTTTTTGCATTATACTACACTTTTGTATCCAGAAAACTCCTGTTTCTTCACTTTACATGACACGAAGACGAAATTTATTGGACACATTGACAATGCTCTCCTGAACATTGCAATTTACTACTTTTGCCCTGAAAGTCCGTTACCATGGTGACAGCGTGCTTTGGATAATTAAGCTCAAAATATGTCTTTTTCCGGCCGTTTTAAAAATTTACTGAAAAATTTGCATAAAAGACTCTTTCTCGTATAATATTTTTTTTCTTCAATTTTAAAAATCTTTTATGGAACGTCTCTTAGATTATTCCCCGCGGCAATAAAATTTTACGAAAAAAGGATATTGAGCTTGTTTAGCCGATATTAAGAAATGTGCAAAGTTTTGAACAATTTACCGAAGGATCGTTTCTTAGATTATTCCCTTCAATAAAATTTTAAGAAAAAAAAGATATTGAGCTTGTTTAGCCGATATTAAGAAATGTGCAAAGTTTTAAAACAATTTACCGAAGGAAAAGGGAGAAATTTAGGTTTAACAGATTTTGGCATTTTTTGCGAGATGTGACGTGTAACCACCCCAACTGTGAAACTCAGACAAAAATCAGGTAAAATTCCAGTTAAAATTTTGATATTTTCAGGTAAAATTTGCGTAATAAAGTAATTATCTGTGCGAAATGTTAACCATTTTTGAAAAATATACAGTCAATTTACATCCAATTTGTTTGCGAATTTGCTTTAGAAAACGCCAGAATTGCAGTCCTAGAGCTTCAAAAATGGAACAATTTTCTGGGGGAGGACCCCCAAACCCCCGTTTTCTCCCGAAACTTAGTATGACAGTGCAAGTCAATCACAAGAAGCTTTATTATAATTATTACACTTTAGGTAAATATTTATTAAAAATTCAAATTTCAGGTAAAATCCTCCGACAACCCAACCCCCCCCCCCAACTTCAGATGCTTTGCTATGTTCCTGTAGACTGACGTGTACAATAGTCGAAAAACTAAAAAAAATTTCCCGAAGGGATTTTAAAAATGGCCGAAAAAAGACAAATTTTGAGCCTTATCATAAGCACGCTGTTGCCATGGTAACGGACTTTCAGCACAAAAGTAGCACATTGCAATGTTCAGGAAAGCATTGTCAATGTGTCCAATAAATTTCGTCTTCATGTTATGTAAAGTGAAGAAACGTATAGGCGTTTTCTGGATACTATAGTGCAGTATAATGCAAAAACCTTAGGGAGCCACCTTAAAATAGTTTTTATTATTATTTCATGATTTTTAAACACAGAAATTACTCGTGGTCATTCGTAGTCACTCGTGGTCATTCGTGGTCACTCGTGTGTACTTTTAGACAAGATCGTCGTTTCGCAGTTTACTGGGAACAATAGCACGAAATGGCAAAGTTTGCCGAAGAGTGGAAGCCTAATTAAACTTTGAAACATATTGTTAAACCCTGCCGCGTACGGTCCACGGACATCACCGATTACCAGTCCGAATAACAGAACCAATGTCCCACTGCTATTTAGTTTATTTTTGAAAAGAGTCAGCTAAGGATATTCTGTTGTTGTAGTTGTTGTATATATTAAAATTACAAGAATTGAAAAATGACCGCGTCACTATTTATTCTATAAGATCGTAATAATAATTATGTAGTGTGCACGAGCCGCGAAGTCGGTCCCTCGTGAAAAAAATCGTTCCTTTGTGTGCACCCCCCCCCCTGAAAAAAATTGCATTTGCGCCCCTGACTTTATGGGAAAGATGAACAATGACCCATTTTAGAACAATTTAGTAGTGATTACATATCTAACTCAACTGAATTACTAAGTAGTCTGCTCGTATACTTCGATAAAGCGATTACAAAATGAGTATTAACTCCAGTCCATCCATCAATCAATCAATCGATCCACCCAACTGATACTAAAAATGCACGACTTTCGGTAAATAAGCACATCAAACATGTTAAGCATATCAATAAGTGCCGTGTGTCTGCAGCGAGAGACGAACCCACGACCTCAGAGGTGAAATTAGGCTCTGACGATTGCGTCACCGAAGCACCTTGTCCTTTATAGAAGATAAACAACAATTTTCGGTACAGATGTTGAAATAGTTCTATGTCTAACAATTAATACGTTCATTGGAGTGGCAAGAATGGACTTGGGTGCTTATGGATTTATAAGATTTAATTTTACAATAATTTATAGTTGTTACATCAAATGGTCGATTCGTGATGGAATGGAACATTTTAAACCGAAAAATGTACACTTCGGTATAACAAACGCACACGCATGACAAATATTTCAATCGAATCGCGAAGCGAAATCATCAGTATCGCTGTAAATTTCACTGCCGCCATTAGTATCACTTCCTCTTTCTTCGTCACTTCCGGTTCCACTTCCTCCATCAGTATTACTTCCTGTTTCACTGTCGCTTCCGCCGTCAGTGTCACTGCCGCTACCGTTTTCATTATTGTCACCACTTTCGCTACCACTTTGACTCGCTGTAAAAAAGGAAATTTCCCTCGGTTGCTTTCTAGGCCAAACCTTTTTCAGTTTGGCTTAATTTTATCTAATGGAATTTTGTGCAGTGCAATATCACAAAAACTGATAGTTTGCAGATAGTTTACAGACGTCGACTCTCAAGGAAAACGTCAAAGTTAGGAGGCCGAAGAGTAACTGGAGTAGTGAAGTAAACTTGTTGCTTTCCTACCCAGTGGTGCTAAATTACTTTGAATTTGTACTTGAGTAAAATTAAAGGAGAAGTAATTAACAATAAAATGACTTGAGTAAGAGTAAAAAGTACTGGAGGCAAAACGTACTTAAGTAAAAAGTACAACGTATCCTTAAAAAATACTTGAAGTAAAAAGTAAAAGTAAAAGTACTAATCATAATATCATTCACAGCATGGTCTACTTTTCAGACCCCATTGAAAATATAAGATATCCATTAAATAAATAATGCTTATAAGTAAGCCACGAGAGATCCCAGACGCATATAGAGGTCCTTTTACGTATCCCAAAATTAAAATAAATCAGGAATAAATCACGTAAACTAAACAAAAGTTAGAAAGTATAACGAATTACTTCGTCACAAAATGAAAATAACGAAGTAAAACGACTTCGTTCCAAGTAAAAGTACTGCAGAAAAAGTTTACTTTGTTACATGGCTGACTTCTCAAAAATAGTACTCAAGTACAGTAACGAAGTACATTTACTTCGTTACTTGACACCACTGTTCCTGCCTGTGATCATCTATGGAATGCATTTTCTTTTGTATTACTTGACGCTCAGCTGTATTGGGTTTTGTAAACTTAACTTTGATCAGCTCTTAACCTAAAATCCTCTGCAATTCTGTAATTGTGATTGGAAGTGAGTACGTGAGTTTTAAATATGTCAGATAAACAGACCAAAATCATATGCATGCTACCATAATTATGTTAATGAAATTGGCAGACGGACCTAATATATCGATACATTATCATTAATAATTGCTTTGATTGAAATTAGTATTTCTACGGACATCACTCACCTGTGTCTATCTCACAGTGTTGGCCTTTGAAACGTTTGGGACATGCGCAGACATAAGTGTTCAATTTTTCTTGGCATTTACCTCCATTTTGACAAACTGTAGGATTACATTGGATTTTGCCTGGCGAAGAAGAAAATTGATAAGTGAAGAAAAATGAAATATAGAAACATAGCCACGGTCTTCCCTTCTTCGCCTCGCCCGGTTTTAGTTGGTCCACGGCGGGCTGACCGTCTGCCACGCAGATTAGGGATATTGTTGTGGGTTTAATCAGATTTAGCGGGAAAAGGTTTAGCCATGCAATTATTAATCGTTTTGAGATTTAGAAAACTACCTACCGTCACTGTACCGTGGACCCTTACGTTTCAAATAGAACAGTTAGATATATAACTCGAGCTCGAATTATTAGAAACAAATAAACCATATGGTCAAATAAAGTCGTATTTATACACATATATCGTATAATGGGATCATAAACCCACTCAAGTTCGATGTTCTCCTTTATGGATGGTTCTTCTGTTTTCAGCACTGTTTATAGACCACGAATTACCTGACGAATTAGTTTCTTTTCTTTATCTTAGTTGGCCAGACCGCCCTAGTATAAATCTTACTACACCAGTTGATACTCACCCAGTTGGCCTGGTGCAATTTTCTTACAGTCGTTAAGGAGTCGTGATCTTTCTTGTGGCAGGAGATCATATGTAATTCCCTTTGTACTGTAGTCTAAGCATGTCTTAGTTATAACCTCTCTGTTGTTTAATTCACAACTGGAATAGAATCCTTTTTCAAATGCCAAAATTCGAAGTTGTTTCAAAACAACATCCTTGGTAGTATAATCCTTGCCTGCCAGCCCGGTACATAGATCTTTATTTGGAAAAAAATCTTGGACGGCTTCTAGGTATACTTTGTTAAAATTTTCATTTCCTTTTTGACAGTGTTCAGATACTGTTGTTATCACACGTTGTTTTCGTTTGAGGCAAGAGAATGTGTATTTAATAGCAGCCAGTGTATTGATGATTTCCTCCTGGAGACCAAATGTTACGCCGTAATTTGCATTTGATATTTGACGTAGGTATTTGTCGATGGTTGAAACGCAACTAGACTGACGTATGTCCAGGCACAATGCTTTGATATCTTCTAGTTGTTTTCGTAATGTTTGAGAGGATAATGTGGACTTCAATTGTCTCCAGCCCTATATAGAAATCAGTGCAAGACTTAAAGGCCCTGTCACACTATTGCGTATGAGAGAAACGTATGAGCAGCCGGCGTATGAACATTAATGAAATAATTTTCATACGCAAAAAATCCTTTGAAATGCCAGCGTATGAGTACCGTACCTCTAGCGTATTTAGCGTGTGCCTAGAGTATGCTTATCGTATAAAGCATACGTCCGATACGCACAAAATTTTTGAACATGCTTAAAAAAATTTTCTGCCTCGCCGTATGCCAGCGTATGCCACCGTATGCGACCGTACTTGAAACTTATACAACCTATGCCTAACGTACCCCTGGCGTATGTCAGCGTATATTCCGGCGTATGAGTGATATTTTTCATACGCTGGCATACGCTAGTACGATACGCAATAGTGTGACAGGGCCTTAATACCGTTTTCCACTTCAAGCGTACCAAACCGTAACGTATCAAAACAAATTTTAAATTTCAAAATTTAGTGAACGTTGATTGGTAATACTTCCGTAGTACGCTAAAAAGTTGACTTGCGACGAACTTTTATTTTGATACACGAATCAACTGGAAGTACGTAAATTTGAAAAGGCATCTTCAAGCTGCGCGTACTCACCGGTACGTTACAGTACGATTCGGGCAAGTGGAAAACGGCCTTTATAGTTACAGTATCATGAGACCAAAACTTCGGTTAGCTGACATCAAAGGTGTAAGTATCGCTATCCCAAAATTTGTATACTATTGACCTTACGTATAATTGTATTTTTGGACATTGGAAGTAGAAGCTTACCAATTCTGTAAATAATTTGATTTACTTCTATATATTACGGTGGCCCAGACGTGACATCATAAAATTTTCACTTTTGCATTTCCATGTTTCCGCATTTTCAACTTTTGCATTTCCATGTTTCCGCATTTTCAACTTTTGCATTTCCATGTTTCCGCATTTTCAACTTTTGCATTTCCATGTTTTCGCATTTTCATATTTTCATGTTTCCGCATTTTCAACTTTTGCATTTCCATGTTTCCGTATTTTCACATTTTGCATTTCCATGTTTCCGCATTTTCATATTTTCGTATTTTCATGTTTCTGTATTTTCGTATTTTCATATTTTCGTATTTTCACATTTTGCATTTCCATGTTTCCGCATTTTCATATTTTCGTATTTTCATGTTTCTGTATTTTCGTATTTTCATATTTTCGTATTTTCATGTTTTCATATTTTGTACTGTTGTAATTTTCATACAATATTTTTTAAGAAATTCCTCCATTGTTATAGTTTATATTGGCACCGGTTGTACATTATTTAGACAGTATACTACAGCGACTTTATTAAAAGTCGACTTGGTTATAAACTATATATTTTCCTCGTTCTATCCCGCTCCTCAATTCTTTCAAAGTTATTTGTTTACATGTTAATTAACTCAGGTTAAATTATATCGTGGTGCAGTTAAGGGCTGCAACGATCACGAAGAGACTACTGTGTCTACTGTATCTAAGTCAAACCGGATGTTCTCTTGCGAGCAACATTGCAATATTGTCCCACAATATTGCAATTTTGATAGGGAGATTGTTCTGAGCAATTTGCAAGCCGACGCGAACAAATAGGCCGTGGGCTTTGTTGGCCAAAATTATTTCGCTTCGTGGCAGCCATGTGGGAAGTACTTGATTTGTTGTTTATTTGACTGGGAATTATAGGTACATTACTACCAAAAAAAGTTCCCAAGCAAAAAAATGTGATCAATGATTATCTTCTATTAAATTCATATTACAGCGAAAAAATGAAATCAAATAGTCTTTGAGTTATTGCTGTTTTAAATGTGAAAATTGGACCAAAATGTCGCAATAAGGACTGCATGGGTACTTGGTAAAAACGCGTTTTTGACAGCGTATAACTCGAAAACAATTTGAGATATAAAAAAGTTTTTGTAAGCTTTCTGACGATGTAAGTTGTAATTGAATACAACATTTCACATTTTCTTGCTGTAATACAATTTAATAGAGGATAATCACTGATCACCCATTTTCTCCGTATTGGGCACGTTTTTTGTTTGGGAACTTTTGTTTGGTAATTGAGCATCTATATGGTACTATGCATTGAACCACAGAAAATCTATTCTCCAGCGGGTTGCCACGAATTTGCTCCTCAAGGAACTTTTTCGTACAACAGTCCACGGCCTAAAATTGCAAGTTGAAATTGCCAATGATATTTCTCACCTCCCACCGGCCGAACGAAGTAGGAATTAACAATTAGACAACGAGGCCGAGTTGTCTATGAGCGAATAGTCAACGAGGCGAAGCCGAGTTGACTATTTGCTCATAGACAACGAGGCCGAGTTGTCTAATTGTTTTAGTATAAACTTTAACATTAATTTACAACTAGGCTGCAAACACAATACAAAAATACACAAAAAACATTATAAAACCATTCAGTAAAGGTAAACAAATATTTTAGTTTTTGTTCGCGTAAAATGTTTTACAAAATTCAGTTTTAATTTTAAAATTTCATTGAGTGTATGTTATTTTGTCTATTTTCTTACCCTTAAAAATTGCCATTCCATATTTTTGTTGCTTTTTTCGGGGTTTTTTAGTACAGAATTGTTCAACAAGTCATCCAAAAAATCATCAGACACTTCGGCAAAAGTGCAAAACGCGAATTTTCCGCCATTTTGAATTTTCTATTAGTAGGCACGGTATGTAATCCGAAGGCACGATATGTGATAGCCTATTAGTGGGTTTATACTAATATTTGTTCTAACATTTCTGCTAATTGTACTTTACTACTTGCATTTCTGATAAAAAATATTGCAGGTCCCGACGCTCATCAGCCTATGAGCGCTCTGGAACTTTCCGCATATACTCTGTCATGTATGTAGAATGTCGTGAAATTAATGAGCGAAATTAATTAAACCTTGATTCTTGACAGCCCCAACAAGAAAATTTCAGGGAATTCATCAAGGCGATGAAGTTATAGTTGCCTAGTTCAGCTGTTTTCGTGCTCGACAAATAATATTAGTGGAATTACATTCAACAAGGTTGGGTTACAGAATAGTTAGAAAACTGCTAATACATCATCTTGAACTAAATTATTCTTCATTTTTTGTCAATATCTTTTAAAAAAGTGATTTTCACTGGTGGGGGCAAAATAGGTAACTGGGGGACTAACATGGGGGACTAACATGGGGGGCTAGGGCCCCCTTTCTATATGTTAAAAAAGCCTGAAACAGAGTCAGCCCCGGTCAATGTATAATACTGATCAATGTCAGCCCCGGTCAATGTATAATACTGATCAATGTGAAAATGTAAAAGTTGAAAATGCAAAAGTTGAGAATGCAAAAGTTGAAAATGCAAAAGTTGAAAATGCAAAAGTTGAAAATGCAAAAGTTGAAAATGCAAAAGTTGAAAATGCAAAAGTTGAAAATGCAAAAGTTGAAAATGCAAAAGTTGAAAATGCAAAAGTTGAAAATGTAAAAGTTGAAAATGCGGAAACATGGAAATGCAAAATGTATTTTATGATGTCGCGTCTGGGCCACCGTACAATAGGAAACATGGAAATGCAAAATGTATTTTATGATGTCGCGTCTGGGCCACCGTACAAAATATAAAAACACGAAAATACGAAAATACGAAAACATGGAAATGCAAAAGTTGAAGTATTTTATGATGTCGCGTCTGGGCCACCGTACGAAAATACGAAAATATGAAAATACGAAAATGCGGAAACATGGAAATGCAAAAGTTGAAAATACGAAAATACGAAAATATGAAAATACGAAAATGCGGAAACATGGAAATGCAAAAGTTGAAAATGCGGAAACATGGAAATGCAAAATGGATTTCATGATGTCGCGTCTGGGCCACCGTAATATATTGTCAGAAGCATTGTTTCGAAAAGTTGAAAATGCGGAAACATGGAAATGCAAAATGTATTTCATGATGTCGCGTCTGGGCCACCGTAATATATTGTCAGAAGCATTGTTTCGAAAAGGGAATCAGAGGAATAAGTGGTTTTCAAATACATTTTCCTCACGATTATCGGCCAATCCGGTCAACTAACCGTGCAATTTGGCTATCATAGCATCATATGAAATTTCCAAACATTTTTAAAAATTATATAGTTAGTAATTTAATTGAACCAGACAATCGGCTCTAGTACATCATTTCAGTGATTCCAGACCTGTAACTCTACTTCTTGAACTATGTTCAAATATCTACAGACAATACAAACGACAACTAATCATGCATATAATAGAAAATCTAAATGATTTGGAAGTTCAAAGAATTTCGCAACGCTATCGAACTCAAACTGAAGTTGAATAGCAGCTAACGGTGGAAAATCGGTTGTCCCAGGTTGCTTAATTTAAATAATATATAAATATCACGGTTGAGTGCTAATTACATCATTATTTCTATTTTCGGTATTCACTTTACAAAATAAACAATAGACGAATGACTTTTCTCGAGTTTTCAAACCATGTTTCTGTTATAGCATTGCTACTGTAACAACTAACCTTGTCAAAGAAACGAAGTAAATTATTGCTTTCTCTCAGGATAGTGATACATTTATCTCTGGCATCTCTCAGATCTTTCAAACCACTTTTTATCGAACTTTCAACCTTTGGACATTTCCACGCCATTTCAATCTGAACAAACGTTGTCACTCCTAGATAATATATAAATCAGTACTGTACCAATGGACCATTTGCATTATAGACTAAATGTTGATCTAAACAAGTCTAGACAAAAATTTCATCACAGCTTGAAAGAGCATCACAAAATTAGTAATATTCCAAAGTTTCGTTGCGAAATGTTGTAATATGCGGATAATATAGGCTTGCGAAATTTGCAATTTTCAGTCATTTTGTATTACAAACTGGAAATTGATGCCCCAACACCCGATTGACCTGTCAATTTCCCGTGCGTGATACAAAATGCCCAGTGAAAAACGGCAAACTTCGCAAGGCTATATTATCCGCATTTTACAACATTTCACAACGAAACTTTGGAATATTACTAATTTTGTGATGCCTTTTCAAGCTGTGATGAAATTTTTGTCTAGATCAAACTTTAGTCTATAATGCAAATGGTCCATTGGGGTTTAGTAATATTAGTAGTCGCAACGCTTTAGAAAAAGAATAATGACATTCTACCATATTCATTCAAGTGAACGGTAAAGGTATTATGCATATAAATTGGCAGAAAGGTCGCTGAAGCGGCGTATATGCTGAGACTACCATCATAAGTCAATTGCTTCTTTGGGAACCGAAGCAGGGAACGAGGAAGAGGGGAAGACCAGCACTTACTACGTGGACCAGCTAAGGAAACACACGGGATTGACCACTGCATGAGGAACTGAAGAACATCATGGATGGTCGTGAAGAATTGAGGAAGCTGGTCAAAGATGTTCGAAATAAACTAACCTAATATATAATTATTCCATAGGTCACTAGTATATAATTATGATAACTTTAAAGTTAAATTTTATAAGTTGTTCAGTTAAAAAGTCATGTCAAACTAAGCTTATCATCCTTACGTAAGGTAAATAGAGCTAGTGAACGATGTTTTAAAAATTATATATATAAATAATTGATTAAATTAAAAAAACAAGCTACTAGAACTTCTAATTTTCGATTTACCAACGAACAAATAATTCCGGCTAAAATAGAGTTTAAACAACCTATATATCCAGGGCATTTTTGACTATATAACTACTGGGGCATTTACCTCAGTAGGCCCTGTGCTTGCCCCAGTAGTGAAGCATGATTTTCAGATGAGTTGGGCCCTTATGATCATTAGTAAAAGGTTAACTTTGTTGAAAAAGCTGCATCTGCCTGCTTTCTCATATTCTCTCACATTCTCGACATTACATCCCCTCTTATAAAAATCAGAACAGGCAGGGGCGGCGCTGAAAGGGGGTTGTGGGTGTGGAACGCCCCCAATCGTCAAATAGTCGGCAAATTACCTAATCCCAGTTGGATAGGAAGGAAAGAAACTAAAACATTTGATTGACACTCAGGATAAAAATGTAATAATTGTAGCTAAAATTACGGAATGCTACGTTAAACCCAAACAAAAATGAAAAGTGGAATGTCCGGAAAATGTGTGATGTTGAGCCTTGAAGCCCTCCAACTCGCTCGCCAACAATTTTGAGAAAAGAAATACTAATTAGCGTTTGAAATTAGCAGACAATATTTCACATACACCCACTCACCCCTATTCAAATAGCGCTAGCTCTTCCCCCGGAACACTGGATGATTTTTATGTACCTGTATAAACTATGTGGGGAAAAGGCCCTCATTGAAACTTAGCCCCTGTAGTTGTAATTTCTTAAAAAGTTCCCTGTATGTAACGTGGAAGAAAGTAATGCAAACCTTGTCGAGTAAGATGGAGAACAGACGAATTTTTCCACTTCACATCTTGCTAAAATTAAATAATACAAAAGATGGAATATATATAAAAACATTTGAAATGTTTGTTAATATTCGTTGTCCAATCAGGGTTGAGTGTATTTTGAGTTGTTCGACGACTTTCGCTTTTTGCACAGCAAACCTGGCACGCGGATATATTTTGGTCAAGTTTTCTCATTCCCTCACGGATTTTAAAGCGAATTTAAGCTCTTTGATTAAAGTATCGTTGTTTTGAGAGTTATACGGCATCATTCTCGCAGGGGATATCGATTAATCTTGAAAGAAATGCATTAAAGACAAAAATCGAGGATAGTTTTGTGTGACATATGCTAAGTCTGGGCTATTTTGGTCTCAATGTTTCCTTCCTTCCCTCGTTATAAGGAAGGCATAGGCGGGCGCGGGCAAATAGAGCCTGGGCTTCCTGTGGTTATACGTCAAACGGCAGACGCCTGGCAAAGAACAATTTTATGGTATCAGGCAATAAAGAGTAAGTGAACTTGCTGTTTTAAAACTGCAATGCATGACTATTCTTTTGGCACAAGAAAAAAAATTTGAAACGAAAACGTTCAACGAAAATTTTGCCAAGAAAGTTCGAACCTGCCGTTTGCCGTTCCCGGAAACGTGAAGCTCAAACTCCCTAATAAAGCTCAAACATCGCCGCAGAAATATTGTCACCACCAGTGTCTTAATTTTTATTGCTGAGAAAAAATGTTTTCAAGAGCTAGAGAAGAAACGGGAAGACGTTCGAGAAAATAGTAAAATTTCCCACAACAATGTTTAGTAATTTATGTAGGCCTTAATCATTGTCTAATAAATTACCTTAATAGAGTTCATTTTGTTGTTGTACTGAACGATAAGTGGAGGAAGTAGTGGTTCCAGGGAGCCCTTCAAATTGGAAGTCAATCTTTCCACGTGATAGCCAATATCTTCAACATTTTCATTGATCTTGATTACCCATTGATAGACGCTTTCAACTATAAAAGTGCGACATAGAAAAATATTACATAGTGTAACCGGCTCTTAAATTGAAAAATATTTCACGCTTTCGGAAGAGGAGACATCGTGGAAGTTAACAATAGATATGATCGAAACATTACATGTTAGTTATCAAAAACTCTGGTGGTTCATACTAATATTGTGTCGAAGGAAATGTATACCACCTTTCAACTTTGGATGTTGTTCCAGCAAACTATGTCAGCAAACTATAGATCACGACATTATAACGAACTGAATTAGTTAATCGCCTGATGATTGTCACAAATAGTGACATGAAACTTAAAGTAGCGATAAATTGAACTGAAACGTTTTAAGATAACAATTTATATATATATATATATTATATATTATAATTTAATTTGTTAACTTAAAATATAGTCACAACTCTGAGTTTCACGCTCAATGCGATCAAAGATTAGATACTATAAAGATGTGTCACTCGACGTATTTCCCTATGTTTGCGTGTCCGTAATTTTCCGTGCTGATCACGAGTGATCACGCGAGATGACGAGTGCATAACACTTACTGCCAAAATGGCGGCGAGACTGAATACAATAGGTTGCCATCGCGATGCTCGCGCTATATGACGAATTTTGACGAATTTGACACTTACTGGCAAAATGGCGGCTATAAAAAAATCTCGGACATAATTTTCGCAGAGTGACACATCTTTATAGTATCTAATCTTTGATGCGATCTTCAGGCGACAATGTTTAAATCTCAATAAAAAAATTCCTGTGTGATTACGTGCGAGTTCGTTAGGCTACTTGCGTGATGGTATTGCGTGCGCACGTTCAAATTTTCCCGCCAAGAATTGTTTCCGGTGGCAACACTTCGAGAATAGCTCACATCTCCTGTTCAGCAATCTTTTCTTATCACCTTTCAAAATTTCGAGTTTCTCTTGGAGGCATAGGTTGCAAGTTTTTGCGCCGCTGCGATAAGATGATGCTAATTGCTTCAGAATGGACCACTTGATTTTGAATGTACGTTTCTTGTTTTTCAAGTTCCAAATGTGTTTGGACAGCTCAGTGGATTTAACATATCTCGTATCTTTGAATAATGACTTGTGGTTGTACGTAATAACGTTTCTTGAACGTGTTTGATGTCATCCCAATATAATCTCGAATTAGTCCTGTGTCGTCTGTAACCTCGGCTTTATAAACAACGCTCTTTGTAAGGCAATTATTGTTTAAGGGACATTCAGTGCTTTCTATATGCAGTTACAGTTGTCTTTGGTAGATGCTACTACAACACTTCTACAACACTTTTATTGCAGTTACTTATATATATATAGTATATATGCAGTTATATATAGTATATATGCAGTTACTTATATTATATATAGTATATATGCAGTTATTATATATATATATACATATATATATATAGGCTATGCATGTATTCCATATGTCAAAGGCGTTTCTGAGAGAGTCAACCGCAGTTACTTATATATATATATATATATATATATATAGGCTATGCATGTATTCCATATGTCAAAGGCGTTTCTGAGAGAGTCAACCGAATCTTGACTGGTGCCAATATCAGAACAGCGTATAAGCCACTAACAACATTGGGTGGAATATTCAAAAAACCGAAAGACAGACCATCAGAAACTCAAGTCAAAGGCATTGTTTACAAATTCAAATGTAAAACATGTAATTTCCTTTACATTGGAGAAAGTAAAAGATCATGGAAATCCCGTTGGGCTGAACATAAACCGGGAACAAGACCGCAGATTGAGTCGGCTATAAAGGAACATGCAGAACGAACCGGACACGAAGTATGCTCTGGGGATGTAGAAATTTTAGAGAGGGGCGTACATAATTATGATAAACGTATATTTCTCGAGTCATTACACTCAACAAAGGAGACAATGACAGTTAATGAGCGTAGAATTTTCCCGCAAACTTATTTGCCTTTGTTGCATACCTTGTAAATTTGCATACGCTAAGTATTTAAAACTTGTTCAATCAACTTGACATTAGTTAACTCTGAGGAAGGTCGCAGTTAGTGACCGAAAATTCAGTATACTTTTTTACCTTTTTTAATTGTATATAATAGATCAGTTGCAACAATAAACGAAAACATGTCTCTTACTGATTGCACAACCAGCAATAAACGAAAACATGTCTCTTACTGATCGCACAACCAGCATATATATATGTATATATATATATATATGTATATATATATATGTATATATATATATATATATATATAATATAGTATACTTTTTTACCTTTTTTAATTGTATATAATAGATCAGTTGCAACAATAAACGAAAACATGTCTCTTACTGATCGCACAACCAGCATATATATATGTATATATATATATATATGTATATATATATATGTATATATATATATATATATATATAATATATATATATATAATATATATATATATATATATATATATATATAATATATATATATATATATATATATATATATATATATATATATAT